CTAAAAATACATTTCCATCCTTCATGTGGTTTGTAATTTAACTGAATAATGAAATTAATAACACGAAATTTCATAACTATGAATAATACAACCAAAATAAATTTACAAGGAAGACCCATTAAAGGCTCAATACCACTCTTGTTGTAACTGAATAATATGTCCCAATCTTTATTCTGGTCAACAAATTGTACTATTTTACAATATTCCAATTAATTGATGATACTAATTTCATCTTAACACACCTAATTTGAAAAATTGGAAAAATTTAACTAAATGATTAGAAAAGCCTGACGTAAAGCTTTTCAAATGTGACTTGGATTTAAAAATATTTTTGAACCCTCTGGACAAGTAAAATAGGATTTAATGGATAATTTACACAACAGGTAGGACATTAACACATCTAGTACTTAGAATAAGGCTATTTTTTATTTTCTGGAGCTGTCAAGCCAGCAAGAGTGTTATTGTCCCTTTAAAGAGGTTTAGCCATCTTAAATGATCTTCAATGCCTGTTTGTTTTCTAACTTTCATGAATAATGTGTTTGATTAACAACTAATCAATCATAAAATAATAAGAGCAAATATACTGATATATAAAATAATACTTAGTGATACACCGTAAAAATTTAACTTACAAGTTAACTATTTTCCTTCATCATTGCTGTTTGCTCCCTTCTGTTTTATAGACACACAATCTTATAATCTTAGCCTGGAGAAGAGCATCTAAGATTTGATATTGGATAATAAATCAATATTCCCAAATAATAATTCAAACCAATACTGTAATCTATGAAATAGCAGTATTTTCAAAGAGCTCTTACCCATATGAACTAAAGAAACCATTCAACGGTTGGCCAATTCAATCAATGGTAAGTGAGAGTGAACCCTTTGGCTTTGATCTAGATCTAAGTTCAAAGGAAAGAATCTGCTTGACATGTAACCAGCGGCTGCCAGGCAGGATACAGCCACATTTTGAAAGAGATGAATAGAGAACAAGCTGAAAACAAAAACAATTTTTTGTACAATGAGGGGCAATAATCCAGAAAGTTATGGTCTGAAATGCACAAATATCAAAAGGGACTGAGATCTTTGGGATATAAATATATGTTTTAAGTTTCATCAAAATCGGATAAAAACTGTGACCTCTAGAGGGTCCACAACCTTTGTATTTTGCATACTTTTACACAATTTACGTACAAAGAGCGGACATTTTGTCGGGCAGTTTCATTTAGATTTTCCCAAAATTCGAATACAACCTTCATTATGGTGGAATGGTGATACATTTAATGGTTTTTAAAATCCAAACTCAATCAAAATTACGATGTAATGGTGATATATTTTAACGTTTTTTAAATCAGATAATAATTGTGACCTCTAGAGGGATCACAAGCTAAAAACGTGATTTTTCGTACAATCTCTGGGTCCTTTGGTTTCCTCCCCCCACTGCTAAAGAGCCCTACCTGCAAGCGAATTATTGAAATAAAATTGAACGATATATGTTAAGTCCCGAATTGACCTAGTTTGTGTCGAGTGGACATTAAACCCCATTTCTCTTTCATATCAAGAGATTTTCTTTTCCGAAGAGACTGAAATTTTACATTTTTGTATACATGTACTGGTGCTGTAAGCTTATATCATTTATACATGTAGGCCCCTACAATGTACTGTTTACGGAAATTAGCTTAATATTGCTTACATAAGCCATATTGTAACTGTAGTGTAGGTAACATTCAGTTTCTAAAGAATTCCACATCAAGGTTGAGAAAAAAAAAATCAGAAATTATATATACCAGTACCAGTAGTCAAGTCTGGCAGTGGCCCATAACTTTAGCACAATATATACCTGCCAATAATGGCAAAATACAGGTTAGTTGGTGCCAAAGAGCCTATATCTCTGTGGCTTATTAGAAAATGTTTTGAAAGCAATATTTATAATTTATCAATTTTCACCAGGAAACTATGGTCATTGTAGAGCAGATGACTTTAGTATGGAATTTGTAAATAATACTATTACTACATGTAGGTCTATATTCTGAAAAAGTAATGAAATAGAATTATTCTCCTTCTTAATAAAATTTTTATTAAGAAAGAATAATGAAATAGGATTAACCTCCAACAAACATAACTTGGTCATCATGGGACTAACAATATTTATCTTATAAATCTGCAAGAACACATGGCTCTTCAGCAGGGGCAGGAAACAGGAAATTTTCAGATATTCCACAGGGTTTAGGCTGCTAGTGCTATGTAATGTACATTGTACATTATAAATATACTATTCAAAAAAAGTAGGGGATATTTGATTTTGGGGGCATAATACTAAAATATGCAAATGACTACGAAAAAAGTCACTATAGAACCTAACAGAAGAAACATTTCCAGTTACATGTGACGCCCAAACGCACCAATAGCTACCGCATGGAATGCATGTGATGCTTGGGATCATCATGGGGGTCCAACCCAAGATTTGCACGACTCTGACTTTGAATGTTACAGTCATTGTGGCATTGAATTCCAGGGTGGAAACATCAGTTTAATTGTTTTAGTGACCAGAAAACAAATTTTGATATGCGTCGGCTTACCCAAAATGAAAGGTTACGTGCCCTTGGCATGCTACAGATCGGCACAACACAGGCGGTTGTGGCGCGGACGATGAATGTTTCTCAGTCTGTCATAAGCAGGCTATGGTCCAGATACCGTGATACACAATCTGTACAGGACAGACCACGCTCAGCTCGACCAATTGCGACAACTCAAGCCCAGGATCGATTTATCCGTACCTTGGCCTTGAGAAATCGTGTCATCACAGCAAATCAGATCAGCGCTCGTCTTCAAACAGACACTGGTGTGAGAGTGAGTGGCCAGACGATTCGGAATCGACTGCATAGGGGTCACCTTCGCGCTCGACGTCCTCGCGTGATCCCTTGTTTGAGAGATCATCACATTCAGGCAAGACGTCGTTGGTGTAGGGATCGTCAACACTGGGATAATCGACGCTGGAGCAATGTGATGTTTTCAGACGAGTCAAGGTTCACTGTTGATTTTTTGGACAGACGTAGGAGGGTGTGGCGTCGCCGAAACGAGCGCTTCCAAGACGTTAACGTCATCAGACATGATCGATTTGGGGGTGGTTCTGTTATGGTGTGGGGAGGCATCACTGTTGCTGGAAGAACGGCTTTACATGTTGTTGCAGGGCGTGTTACAGGCCAGTACTACCGGGACAACATCTTGGCAGTCCATGTTGTGCCGTTCGCACGACGTCATGGCCGCCATTTCATCTTCCAGGATGACAACGCAAGATGTCACAGGGCCAGGATCGTTACAGGTTACCTCCAACAACAGAACATCACCACATTACCTTGGCCAGCACTGAGTCCCGACCTCTCCCCCATCGAGCATGTCTGGGACATGCTTGGACAGAGGTTATGTCAACGTCAACAACGTCCTGCCAATGTCCAAGAACTTGCTGCTGCGTTGCAACAGGAATGGGACAATCTGGACCAAAATGACCTTAGACGTCTCATTAGGAGTATGCCACGTCGGATCAATGCTTGTTTGGCAAACAGAGGAGGATTTACCTGTTACTGACTTGGTTGTGATGCTGTGGTAACTTTGCTGTTTGACCCCGGGTATCATTTTACCCTTATTATGGTCAGTCTGTGCCTTACTTAGTCTAACGATCATTTGGAATAAATCGATGAATGTGAACTTCATTTCATTTTGTCATTTGTTTCTTCGTCAGTTTCATTAGGTGACTTTAATAAAACTTAAAAATCAAATATCCCCTACTTTTTTTTAATAGTATACAATACAATGATGTGATTGAATGCACTGCAGCATTGATGACAGATCTGTGATTGCAGTTCAATGACTTTAATCACTGAGTCATCTGATACACAAAATGTAGATGATACATATATGTATATTCAGGAAATCTTAAAATAGATGACAGGATTTCTTGAAGCTAAAAAAATTTCTGATCTTTCCTTTTCTTTTAAAACTGTTTACATGTAATAGCTAAACATTTTTCAAATTCAAATATAGGTTGCAGTTGACACCTAAAATTGAAGAAAAAGAAGATCTAAACAAATCTCATACTACTGTACCTTTTGAAAGCTTTGTAATATTGTTTGTTTTTATTTATTTTTCCCATATGGTTGTACAGTATCTTTAATGGGGGGTTTTCGAGAGAAGAAAGCTGACTCAGCTTAAGGATGGCAGTGAGTTAACCTTTCCATTTGAACAAGATTACATAGTATTAACTTGACACAGTTTATAACAGCATTAGTTATCCTGGTTATAACAAATGACATTTTGTTTAGTGTGATGAACCATTTTCTATAGATCTTTAATATGCCATGTCTCTCTACTAGGCCAGCAATGTATAAACTGTGTGAATCATTGATCTAAAACTTCACACTGTAACTGTTGCTCCATGGCGTCACTCATGGGATTTAAATGGGAAAAACAGACTCTTGATGGCTTTGATTGACTATAAGCTGATTTTCTTTCAACTATAATTAGTACCGTATAATAAAAGCATTATACTTGGCTATTAATTGTATTCAATATAATTTCAATTAAGAATTTGGCAGCTAATGTAAGGAATATCAATAAAGATTATTCTTCAAAAATGGTCTAAACATAATTATAACAGCTGTAAAATACTGACCATAATTAATTCCTACTGTTCGCCTCTGTAACTAAAATAAATAGATCTAATTATGACAGTCGGTGCATTACATTAAAGTATAACAATTAGGTTTGTCACCATGTCCAAACTGATAGTTATAATGACAGTCCTGTGTGACACAAACTGACACATCAGTATTTTACTTAATAATAAGGCTATACTACTCTAACAGTAACACACGCACGTAATAATATTACACTGCAGTCAAGTATTATCCTTTGTTTTCATTGGGAACTAAATCCCGACCAGCTGAAAAAAAAATGCCCTGCTTTACTATTTATTTTCGATTTAAAACTTAAAACATCCTTACCCTCATGTCGCAAGTTGGTTTTACTTGACTCCATGCGGCTGTCAGCATCCATTACTTTTTCTGAAGACATCACAGAATAATATCCAAAACAATCACTGCCTATTTATCCCATCATTACAATGAATAGACGAATAATAATACAGACCACAGTTTGAGTCATTCACAAAGTCGCCATTTTGACAGCTAATAATAAGGGCGATAACTCTTATCTGATTAAATCTAGCCGAGTGTTTTTTTTATTGACTTTTCATATTAATTATTTTATTGAAAATAAAGAGATAACAGTTTTTGTTTTGTCGACTGTCTGTAAATAATATGGATTCTTACATTAAAATGATTCATAAAAAGAGAAATAAAAGAAAGATGATGACTAACTTCACCAAGGAGTTTTTTGTGGGGTTTTTTTGGGGGGGGGGGGGAGTGTTTGTTTTTTGAGGGTTTTTCTTATGATGCCCCGCTATTATTTTACGAAATATTCTGGGCTTCGTAAAATGATATTAGTAAATATAGCGATTTGATTGTTTTTGGGGTTTTTTTTTTTTGTTTTCGTTTTTCTTTTTGTAAAGACACTTAGACAGCATGACGCATGAACGCAGGGCTTTGTGTTTCGGGGCGTTATTTTCTACGCCTAAACACATTTGTTAAAACGCATTGACTAATATAGTGCGAATTATCTAACTTTAGTATTACATGGAAAAGTTTTGAATTTCCCGCAAGTGGATATGTATAATTTCGTACATTATTGTCAGTTAATATTTTTCGAATCATTATTCCAGTAATTTCCATATTTATCATACTCTGTCAACTTGATTTGGGAGTTGTTTTAAATCGAGTTGTTAGAAATGAAATGAAATGAAATGGGGTTTAACATCCTACTGTTCGGCTCCTATGCCGGGCTAATGAAGACGGGCATACGTCATACAGTGTGCTATGAGGGAAATTTTGCCCGGGCAGCGGCACTATCGCCTACTCTTATATCGAATTCCAACTGACAAGGGATCTTTTACGTGCATTCCGCGAGTTGTTAGAGTAAAACATGGATACGTTATAATAATAAGAAGAAGTAACATAGGCGCACTATAATAATCGGAGAAAACTTCGCTATAAATATATGCTTTTCTGTGCATTAAAATCTACATGAGCTCAGTATGCAGCATTATCATTATTTATGAATCAAACATTAACGAATACCCAAACATTATAATCATTTCAAACATGGGGGATTGGATGGCTGAATGGTTTCCGCGTGCGCGCTGAATCATAAAGTCTGTCATTGAGTCAAATGGCGAGGTTTCAATTCCCCGGTTGTACGTGACATGGGGTGAGGTCGCCTGTCTAACCTCGTGGGTTTCCTCCGGGTCCTCCAGTTTCCTCCCAAGCAAATTGTTGAAATAAAATTGGTACATGTTAGTCCCAAAATGACCTAGTTTAAACCCCATTTCTTCCCCCCCTCTCTCTGTCTCTCTATCCCATTTCAAACATGCACACGAGAAATGTTGAAAGGTGTTTTAAAAGATCCCTCTCCTGTCCTGCCTCCCTCTTGTTCCAAACCTTCCCTGGTGCAATAAACAAGGCAAAATTATTTCCCGTTAATAATACCCTTGGCTTTTTTTTTATTTTATTTCCTAATTTATTTCTGTTTAAATAACATTTTCTTCAATTCAAATTATAATTCAGTATTGATCCACTTCAATCAATAATGATATTATCTCACCGTGATAATATGGGATCCTGATATGCAATATTATATAATAACACACAATACACATTTCAAAATTAGTACACGAATTGTGTATATCTATGGTTTTGGGCGCCATTTGTAATGAACAAAGAAAAACATTCCCAGACAATGCTGAAGTAATCAAAACAACGACAAAACAACAATGATTTTAAAAAAAACATTTACAATGCATTAAGCAGGCGCAAACGACTGTTGTTCAGTTTGGACTGTTTACGTCTTTCATCGAACATCATTGATTAGAAATTACATTTTTTTTAAAAAAATGGAATGAAATTACTTTGTGCTTTCAGACCCATTTTCGTTTATTTTAGTGGGGTTGGATGGCCGAATGGTTAGTGCGTGCGCGCTGTATCCTAAGGTCTGTCATTGAGTCAACTGGCGTGGTTTCAATTCCCCGGTTGTACGTGACAAGGAGTAGGGTCGCCTATCCAACCTTGTGGGTTTTCTCCGGGTCCTCTGGTTTCCTCCCACTGCTAAGTGAATTGTTGAAATAAAACGGAACCATATGTTAGTCCCGAAATGACCTAGTTCCCCTTTTATTTATATTTTATATTTTTAAACAAAATATGCCTTTACTACATTAGAAACGCCTCTCGGTACCACCCTCATCACTTTATTTGTCAATTCTCTATAAACTTCCCCTATCCATAATATTCTTTATTTATAATAATGCTTCACTAGACTATGTATTCTTGACTGTCGTCATAATGGGGTTCGGGGGATTTTAAATGCAGCTTATTATAAAAGGCTCGGGCCGTGGATTTTTCGCTCATATCACACTGTTATTGCGTATATCCGTCTTCATTAGCCCGGAGGTCGCGTGTACACATTGGCGTGCACGTAAAATAACCCTTGGCAGTTGGAATTCGATATAGGCTAAGAGTAGGCCATAGCGCCACTGCCTGAGCAAAATTTCCTCTCATAGCACACTGTCTGGCGCATGCCTGTCTTCATTAGCCCAGCCGCACTAGCAGCAGAACAGTAGGGCCAATCTGTTTCACATACAGGGGATTGCGAAAGTCTTCTAATATTTCTGTAAAAGATGACTGTCTTCAACACGTGACGCCACATCACGCAGCGTCAATCATCGGTTCAATGGCGCGTGCACTGTTTACATAAGACGTTGCTGGTTCGGGCAGAATGGTGCCTTTTACACATTTTAATACCCATCTACACTAAACAGGAAATAATTTTTACCTACAAATACTTCAAACGTCTCATACATAAACAAAAATGTTTTAGAATTTAACTTGTCGGAGGAAAAAAGTTAATATTTGGAGCTCATTAAGTCGCATCGATGTCATCCTTATCAGTGATTGTAGCGGCCTAGCGAATATTCACTTCTGATCAGTGTACAGTAGGACTTTAAACCCATTTCATTTCATTAACCCGGTTGGTGCAGAATCCAGAAAAGTAGCAGTTATTCATTCATTCATTCATTTTATATACCTCCTTTGCTTAGCCTGGTGGGACACAATAGATAAAATGGAATAAATTCAAAAGGCACAAACAACATGTCCTCTGTTATATAAAACCGTAAAAGTATATAACAAGTTCCAAAGATCTAGAGAGGACCCGCGGTGGCTAAGTGGATAAGGCGATGGCTCACTAGCCTGGAGGTCGTGTGTTTGCTCCCGGTGTTGGCCGAGACAGTTCATCGCGATTTTCCGGCGTGGTTTCCCCTTGTCAGTGATGCAAGACGGAGGGCCTGACAAGGACAGGTGTCTAGTCGTTCGGATGGTACGAAAAACCTGTGTCCCATGTACACATTGGCATACACATAAAAGATCCCTTGGCAATTGGAATTGGATATAAGAGAAGGTCGTATCGCCGCTGTCCTGGCAAAACTTCCCTCGTAGCACACGGTATGGTGTAATAATTCCTGTCTTCGATTTCCCAGTCGGAGCAGAACAGTAGGACGTTAAACCCAGTTTCAAAGATCTAGAATAAATGTATTTGGCCTGGGTCTGCTATGAGTTCTGTCTTGTCTTATATATCTCTTTGCCTGGAAAATATGTGTTTCGCTACGGACAATATTGGGGAAAGGTATGACAAACTGTTTAAACATACATTATGCAAGAGCTAACAGGGGCGGATCCAGGAATTTTTGCAGGAGGGGGTTTGCCAGGATCCTGAGAAAATGTATCTCCCCCCCCCCCACGCCCCCGGGGCTTGAAATTTTTTAAAGAAATACATGGTCTCTATCGTCATTTTGGCGTATATACATACACATTGATCTTTTTAAACACAGGAATCCAACATCCTGTTTGACGTCAATTTTTATTATGAATTAATACGATGACATTGTGATTCAATTTTATTGATGCAAAGCATTAATTGTGATATCACATATGTCTATATCATTATCTCGCACTTTGAGTGCCCATCCTGTCGCACCATCTGACGATAAAGGATAAAGGCAATTATGACACTTTTCTCATCCGCGCCTGAGCTAAATGTGCCTACGGGTATTTCTTTAGGACTGAAATGTTATGTAAAGTATTAATTAGATTTTTATTAACATCACAAGGCCATAATCAACCCTCGATGCCATCAGATATCTCCGAAATTAAGTGGATTAGAACGGTTCAGCCATATTTTGATTTAATCTAAAACTGGTGAAGCGAGCCTAAGCTTCAAACAACAAGTGCGTTGGTTGCAATTAATGCACACATCTGGTTAAACCTTCAAAAGCTAATATCTTCGCTAGCAATGGAGCAATTTGAATGAAATTTTCAGTAAATTTATTTTGCATTATCTATTATCTATGATCAGCTCTTTATCTAATTCTTACATAATGTATCTTTAAATGTAAGAAACTGCACTTTTTAAATTAGTCCACTTTATCGTGGGGTTTTTTTCTCGGAAAACCACTAGAAATTTTTTTTTACATGTATTTTAATCGCTGCGGTCGACAAGAATCTTATTTAGTTGATGAACTTTCTTTGAAAAGTAGCCTATACTTTGTGCATGCAGTTATTTTAACAAGTGTTAAGAGCTTAAAGGGCGTTTGACTTTATTCTTTGGGACCTTAAAATAAACGAATATGGGTCAAAAAGCACATATTAATGTAATATGAATGTATATAAAGTGATTTATATTTGTAACAGTTTTATTGTAATATCTAATCAATTATGTTCCGTGAAAAACGCGAATGTAACAGTTCAAATTGAACGACAGTCGTTTACGCCTGCTAAGTTCACACGTTTTTGTTATTTTTTAGTCGTTTGTTAATATCAGCCATTAATAATACTTCCGCATTGTCTTGTATAGGATATGTTTTTTCTTGTCAATTACAAATTAACATGACAAGACCATAATTAACTATCGATGTCATCAGATATCTCCTATATTAAGTGGATTAGAACGGTTCAGACATATTTTGATTTAATCTAAAAATGGTAAAGCGAGGCTAAGCTTCGAACAACCA